GCTGTGGCTGACATTCTTATTATTATTGTCGTCATTGTTGTTATTACTGTCGTCGTCGTTAATATTATTATTGGCATTTTCAATACTATTGTTGTTGCTATGGTTGACATTCTTGTTATTATTGTTGTCGTCGTTATTATTATTGTTCATGTCAATACTATTCTTGTTATTATGGTTGACATTGTTGTTATTACTGTCGTCGTCGTCGTGAATTATTATTATTGTCATTATTAATACAATTATTGTTGTTGCTGTAGCTGACAGTATTGTTATTACTGACGTCGTCGTTGTTAATTATTATTATTATTGTCATTGTCAATACAATTATTGTTGTTGCTGTGGCTGACGTTCTTATTATTATTGTCGTCATTGTTGTTAATTATTATTATTATTGTCATTTTCAATACAATTATTGTTGTTGCTGTAGCTGACATTCTTATTATTATTGTCGTCATTGTTATTACTGTCGTCGTCATTAATATTATAATTGGCATTTTCAATACTATTGTTGTTGTAGCTGACAAATTTGTTATTATTACTGTCATTGTCAATACAATTATTGTTGTTGCTGTGGTTAAAATTCTTGTTATTATTGTCGTCGTCGTTGTTACTATTATTGTTCTTGTCAATGCTGTTGTTGTTGCTGACATCGTTGTTACTATTATTGCCATTGCCAAAACTACTGTTGTTTTGTTCGTATCTTTCTTATAATTATTGTTGTCATATCATTTGATGTCTCAGCTAACAAAATAGGTTTCTCTATAGAAAATCTCATCGATAACGTCCTGCAGCCCTTACTTGCAGGAACTTGAACGTATAAAATGTCATATTAAATGACTGACCCCCATGAAATGTCTTCTCATCGATGTTTTTGGATTCTCTCGAGCAATTTCTCGACTTTCCACGCGTCTGCGAACATTTGCGGTTTCTGGAGCCAGGAATCGACGAACTAACGTAGGAATTGTTTGCGCAGTTGGTACCCTTTGGCTCCCAAGTTGTGAGAAATTCTCTTTACGTGCCAATAATTGAATTATCACTTCTGGCGTACGTTGGACTTCCACGATGGAACTCGCTTACCTTTTATCTTGCAATCTTATTTATTCCCTGCACAAGAGAATTAGATAACGCGTCGTCGTTATGAGGTTAACAAACAACTAACAAAAAATTTCGTTGGTGGTTCATAAAACGTAACATTTCCTTTCTGTTTATAAATTAGATACTACCTACTCGTGATAACATTCACACGTTAATTACAAATAATAACCACGATAATACACACAGTTTGTTTAATAGTTTCGATGTAATAAATAATTTTTTAATTTTGTACTGTCTGTAATAATTGATTGGTAAATTTTAGCCAATATTATTAAGCAAGTGATCTGGCAAAGATAATATTTTTAAACAAAAATGAACAATATGTAACTATTAACAATGAACGATTTTGTAACAAATTCCGTATTAAAAGAAATCATTGCACGATTGATAATGCATCGTATTTAATGAAACAAGGCCTATGCAAGGAAGATAAATTGTTGCCAATGAATGAAATTGAAATCGGTTCGGTGGGATCGCGGAAAATCTAGATTGTTGCGGTCAACAGATTCGCAACGTGGGCAACTTGTCATTCCATAGTTGCGAATGGCTACATTTTATCTCCCAGAACGGTGATGGTCGTTTTCACTAAAAAATGAGTGTTTCTTGCGCCACAGGGTCGTTCGTCGAATTACGCGCCATAAATTAGAACAGGCTGCCTCGGGATGCCAGGGGAAAAAAAATAAATGTTCCCGCCGAAATCGTAAAGGTGTTCGTGGAAGAAAACCATTGCCCGCAGCAACGGGAGATGCATGATTAATCGAATTTTTTTGCTGGTATCCTTCGTCAAAGTGTAGAATTAAAAGTAGTACTACTCCAATGAACACCGAAAGCACCAATTTTAATATAAAAAGACAAAACAACAGACAGTTTGTGGGTTAAAACAACGTATATGTAATAAGTAATGCTGACACATTTCTCCCCTTCATTTTTGCAATCATAGAACTGTACGATTTACCAATAACAAACTATATACATTTTCAAAAATTCGATCTCAACTCGCGGACAGAAATTAAACAGAATTCGGGTTCGACCTTTTTCAATCGACACGTGCAATACACGAGTTTTCGTCAATAAACGAGGGACTACTGTACCGATCGTAAGTTACGTGTTTCTTTACAATCATCTTTTCCTTTTTTTACGTTGGAATATCGAAAAGGAATTATAAACCTAGATTTTACCAGAATCATGACAGAAATTTGTTTTCTGAGAAATTAATGATTTTAAGAAGCAGTCGTTGTGAATGTAAAACATTGATAATTGATTAAATATAAATATAAATGAATTGCTGGTAGCGTACCAACGTACTTTGAAATTCCGCGGAACGAAACGGGTATTCCTCGGAAATACACAGCCCACGTAACTTTCAATCGAAATTTTCGGAAATTCGATTTCGCCTCGCAGACATTTCCGCGTACCAATTCTCTCCGGTTCGATCGGCAACAACGCGCTTCTCAAAACTATTTTCCCAAAAAGTTGAGGGACAATGTAAAGTGGAACGCAGCCGTTCTGAAGTTGATAACGCGCGCATGCATTGGTGTGGAGGGGTGGAGGGGGGCGGGGAGGTGGGGAAGGCTACGCCATGCTCCTGCGAGCTACCATATTTGTCATCCTCGAACAATTCAGCCGGCTTATCCCTGCTAGCCGAATTTCCCCACATTCTGCACCGTCCTGGCGTATTTAACGGACAAGAATGCACGCGTGACAGAAATTCCATGGCGTCACCCGCGGCGCTCCGTTTATGAACCCAGAGACACACAGAAACGCAACAAACGAGGGGAAACGATGAACAACTCGCGAGTGGATCGAGACCGGAGTTCCTCTTTATTTCGTAAAATTTCTGGTTTAAAAAAGTATTTAAAACGACGATGAAACACCAAGAATTTCAGAGATTTCAGTTGTTCGCAGTCAAAATACGTACATATGTACATTCTTTGTTTTGTTTGGTGAAATTTATGAATATTCTTATTAATTTCTTATCCGATTTACGGTCAAGCAACGACCATATGTTATTTTTGGACAAAATTATGGAACAATCTTTGGAAATAATCGTAAAGGAAACACGTTTATGAATTGCAAATTTGTCGAAAATAATTAAAACGGAGCCTCGCTTGCAACTTCGTGGAAACATCGATCGAGTATTTTAATGTGAAAATGCAAACAGTGCTATGGAAATTTTATATGGAATAGTGTTAAACAATCCCGATAAACCAGACCAAGAAATATGATAATAAAATTTACAAAAATTAATTATATAATTATATAACCATTGATAGTTAGTATCCGAATGGTTGTGAGAAAATTACTTGGTCTTGAAAACACGAACGGTGAAACATTTAACAGAAAATCCCGTTTCGTCGAAATCGCTTTCCAGAAACTATGTCATCCAATTCCTCGATAATGATACCGATTTGTAGTACGAATTCGAACTTTGGGACAATTTTGAACTTCATTCAACTTTCAATGAATCGTTCCAGAAGCATTTACAAACTTTGACTTTCCAGAGAGCATAAAACTGTTAAAGACATTGAATTTTTAGAATCAATCGGGTATCAATTTCAAACAAGTTAAAGTCACGTAAAACAACTATCGTATAAGAGCAACTTTCCCAGGGCAATTCACTTGTCTTTGAAGACAAGCATTGTACACACTGGAACAAATTTCTATACATATAACTTTACATAATTATCAACGACATCATATACATACGTTTAGTGGTCCACAATTCAAGGGTTAAATTGATGGTTTCAAATTCACATATGTTAATATTATATCTGCTTGAAAATTAAGGACACTAATAAATAAATAATTTACAAGTACCATAACGTAGAAATTTAATCAAAAATATTGTACTGGAATGCAAAATAATAAAATTGAGATTTGGGTAAAAATGGTCCCAGGGCTGTTTGATCATCAAAACGTCCATTATTCAATGGTTAAATCGGTGACATCGAATTCACATATATTAATACTAAATGGTCTTGTAAATTAACGGCACTAATACATAAAGAATGTACGAATACCATAATGTAGAAATTTAATCAAAAATATTGTACTGGAATGCAGAATAATAAAATTGAGATTTGGGTAAAAATGGTCCCAGGGCTGTTTGATCATCAAAACGTCCATTATTCAATGGTTAAATCGGTGACATCGAATTCACATATATTAATACTAAATGGTCTTGTAAATTAACGGCACTAATACATAAAGAATGTACAAATACCATAATGTAGAAATTTAATCGGAAATATTGTACTGGAATGCAGAATAATAAAATTGAGATTTGGGTAAAAATGGTCCCAGGGCTGTTTGATCATCAAAACGTCCATTATTCAATGGTTAAATTGGTGACATCGAATTCACATATATTAATACTAAATGGTCTTGTAAATTAACGGCACTAATACATAAAGAATGTACAAATACCATAATGTAGAAATTTAATCGGAAATATTGTACTGGAATGCAGAATAATAAAATTGAGATTTGGGTAAAAATGGTCCCAGGGCTGTTTGATCATCAAAACGTCCATTATTCAATGGTTAAATTGGTGACATCGAATTCACATATATTAATACTAAATGGTCTTGTAAATTAACGGCACTAATACATAAAGAATGTACAAATACCATAATGTAGAAATTTAATCGGAAATATTGTACTGGAATGCAGAATAATAAAATTGAGATTTGGGTAAAAATGGTCCCAGGGTTGTTTGATCACCAAGCCTAATAAATTGAGAATTTTCAAAATATAATAATACATAAATTTAATCAGAAACCTTGCACTGTAATGCAAAATAATAAAATAGAGGTTTGGGTAAAAATGGACCTTGAAATATGATTGCAAGGTAAATCTATCTGAATTCGTTTTGAAGCTAATGTATGGCTCGTTGGTTGTTCCAGGGGAGCATCCAGCAGCGATGCAGCACGGGAATTCTAGCAGCAGCGGCGCAGCAACGAGGACGCTCGCGTTGCTCCTGTTGCTCCTGCACGCCGGCTCGTTCGCAAGGTGACTGGCCGATCACGAAGCCTTCCAATAAGAACACGATCAAAGTCGTTTCTCCTTCGCGTAATCGAACAAGGACAGAGTGGAAGGGGGGATAGAAAGCAACAGCGAGGAAGCGTCGTCTCCGTCAGCAGTAACCACCTTGTGCCCCTATATATCACCTTTGATCTTCCTTTTAACTGATCAACAAAGAGAGCAGACCGTCAGGATTGTCAAAGGGACTCCTGGCAAAGAAGTATCGAGGTACTTCGAGGCCCAGCGACCACTGGAAACCCTCTCCGGACTACTCACTACCCGTGGATGTCCCGACGATTCTAGCTAGTGGATCACCTCCGACCCGGATAATAGTAAATCTGCAAGTGCGTCTAACAGCGATGAGTGTTCTCGGCTTCTTGTTTGTATCCGTAGGTATCCCGAGTCGATCGGACCGGCACGAGTGAAACTGTTCCCCAGTGACGAGCTAGGGTTCCTTCGTTCGTGGCGATATCTCGAGCCCGGAGCCAGCTCTCGCGGAGCACGAGATTGCACGAACTCAATAAACTCGACCTTTTTCTTTCCGTTCGAAGAAGAGGAGAGTCGTACGAGACGATCTCGCGAGACGAGAACTCCGGCAACATGTAAATGGGTGTTTAGTATGAGGCAGTTGGGCTCGGTGCGATCCATGAAATGTTTAGCGTCTACGATAATCAAGGATCTGCGCGGGTTCGTTCTCGTAATTAACAGGCACACCGGATGCCTACTAATTTGGATGTATGCTACCCCCGTTTTCAGGTTACGCTCCTAAAGAGGACGATCGCGCGTGTGTCAGACGGTTTCATTGTCTTTGGGGAACGCTATACACCGTCTGCTGGTGGCGGTTTCATCGAATCAAATGGAGGGGGGCTCTTCAACGAAAGGAAATCGTTGAAATTAATTACTCGATTCTTGCACACCACGATCTTATTATCGTTGCTGTCGGTGAAATAGATTGATTTGTTTATGTTTGTTTGCCGAATTATAACGATTGGACCAAACGGAGCTAGCCCTTTTCTTGCACGATACACTTTGTACATTAATTTTCAAAGTCTCACTTTCTTTGTGTCACCATGTTCTGAAAAAGTCTGATATAACACTTGTTGTAACAAATAGTGCGACATAATTTTCTCGTTGTCCCTGGAATATTTAAAATTGTCTACAAAGAATTTTTGTTAAATGTAGAAAGCATTATTAGAGAAGTTTATGTTTGACAACGAACATACGATGAACATTCACTGATTTTGAAAAAAGAATTTATTCTATGAGTAGCATGGGGGTTTAAATAAGAACAAATTGATTCCAAATGCTATCGATGTTAAATTGAATCAATGGTATTTAAATTTACAGTATAAAAGTTCAAAATGTTAGTGTTAAAAATTTACAAGTGAAAAGTTAAGTAGAATTCATAGAAGAGGGATTGAAGTTTTAATAATTTTAATTTATTATAAAATTTGATGTTCGTTCATTCAAATGTAAAAATTGTCATTTGCACGCTGTCTCGATTGGTAGGCGTTTTGCATAGTAAAAAAAATTGTGAAAAGACCAACGAAAGTAATAATCGGAAGATCTATCAAGAGACTGAATACGAAGGGTGATTCGACGTTCTCCGTTCAATTTCAGTCTAGTCATCGAAAATGAATATGATCTGGAATTGTTATTTTCCAGACATTTTCAGTTATTTGACATCCTCCTATAATTGCTGCAAATTTCAGAGTTATCTGTACATGGAATACTTGGCCATTTAAAATAAAAATGCACTCCTTTTAAAACTTTATTTTCATATTCATAATATCAACGAATTTTGTGCAATAAAGATATTGAATCTTAAAGAAAACAAATGAAAATTATTTGAAATAACATTGCCATAGTCTACTAGAAAGTAACAAACACTTTATTAATTTAGATATAACTTAATTCATTCGTTATGACCAATCGCTTTTGAAAGAACAACGTTTACGAAACTACAAAACAATTTCAATTGTTCCTTTGAAGCTGTACATTTTTCATTTCAATTTTCAATATTGTTACCATTGACGTCAGAAACTGTTTCAGCTGATATTTTTAACAAGAATGAAATACTATGTTGACCCAACCAATACGTTTGTGCATCCCCCCAGGGGTCCATGAATCACAATTCGAGAAAAATTGGAAAACTTCCATTGGAATAAATTATGTACTAACCAATACAAGTTGGCTACTTTTTACTCGTGTCAACAAATTGAATACACTACTTACATAACAAAGACACGTACTATCTATAATATACGTTCACATTTTATTATATTTCGAATTATTCGGCAATTTTTATCATCGCGTTTCTATTAAGGTTCCATAGAAATAATTAGTTAAAATTAATACGGAAAAAATGAAAAAATTTATCGATCACCCTGGTATCAGGAATATGAGATCTGACGGGTTAATAGGGACATCATATCCTAGAATTTTCAAACACCGATAGCATTACCAACGCCAGGCACTAATACAACTAGAATTGCGCAATCGTCGTATTCGTCGCCGGGAAACATTTATTCCTGATCCCCCATTACAGCTTTCAAGCTTGCTCACACGTACGGTGATACTATCACGATAAAGGCAGTCTTTCACGAAGGCTAGCTGTTCCGTGACAATTCTACATGCAGCAGCAATAATTTTAACCGATCAAACGGCACACAACGGTACCAGGGTTAATAGTATCGTCTGACAGTGACAAATGGCCGACCTACGAAAGGACGAGAGAAATTAATAGGCGCTGGTTTAGCAACGTTCTATTCGTCGATTCTGCAACGGTATTCTTCATGCAAACAATTCGAGGTTCAAGAACGTTCTCTTTGTATTAAGAACACCGTATGGTTGTGCATACTGTAATCCCCAACACAGTGGACGAACCAAAAATACTTTGAAAACCTTAATTTTTTTAATTACTGAGTCATAATAGTAATTGTACCTTTGGGTTTGGTTCTATTTTAGTGGGAGTTGTGTTTATATTATAATATAGTTTGAAGAGAAAGTACCTATTTTACTGTATAAAATAATTTGTTACGAACATCATTTTTGAAACTTTTCTAGAACTTTTTTTGCAATGTAACGAAAATACTTTACGCGGATATTTTGAAACAGAATACTTTATGAGAGTAATTGCCTCTTTTCACGAGACACCGTAATATAACGCAGAATTTTTATATTTTCGCTCCAAACTGCAATCCCAAACTTCAAATACAGCGCAATGATTCTAGTTAATAGATTCTTCATTTTTAACGATTCAGAACCAATTTGTTCTTGAAACGGAATTTCAAAGTTTAGTCTACGCTTCGCGCACGGTGAATCTTTCCTGTTCAATGTTTGAAACGTTCATTTTTCATGTATTATTTATCTTCAGTGTTTATTAATAACAAACGTAATATCCTCTCGTTGTTAAATTGAATCTCTATCAAGAATAAAACATGGTTTTGGGAAAATTGAAATTCGTAGGAATTCGTTTAATTTAAATAAAATTCGTCGATTGATCGAACTAAATAAATATTAAATTTATATTGATCAAACTAAATAAATGTTATATTTACATTGATGTAACGTTTTGTTAAAATAAACAGAATTTGTTCAATGGCAAGAAATTAAAATTGGAATTTGAAATGAAAATGTGGAAGTACAATAAATTAACGGAATAAAACATACTGAGACTTTATGTGAAAATTCTTTGAGCTTCTTCTGAATTATTATTACTTGTATTCGTAATGTCAAGAAATAAAATCAATACCTGCCTTCTGGAACTTCGAGACGTATCGTATGCAAAGCATATATGGTCTACTGTATGTACCCTAGTTTAGGTATTATCGATCTATAGTGTAACTAGTATGGCATTTACACTATCCGTCAATATACACCTTCGATATTTGGTGTTTATGAAGTGATATAAACAGGTTTCATTTGTCTATGATTAAAATTCATTCAATAGAGCATATCCATACTAATTTACAATTTGAATCTTCGTTACCAAGATACAAACATTTAAAGTTTCCCGCCATGACTCCCGATCGGCGCCATTTTCAATCAGCTGCCCGCGCGACACCGCCTGCGAACTTTAACTGTTTATATTTCGATAACGAAACCTCCGATCGCCAAATGGAAAAGAACTACATGATTCAAACGATTGATCCAATGGGAATAACTATTTGATTCGAATTAGCACGTGAAATTTTTAGAACTACGTGGTTATTAGCGACGGGGGTGCTTTTCTTACGTTGTTTCTGTGTATCTTATCGTTACTTGGGTTATGTTTCAGTGAGTTTTCTATCTTGTATTTGTTTCTGCAATCAGACGTTCGTTAAATCTTTGATGCAGATCGTTTCCTAAATTCGTTGAATATCCTTTCGACGAGGCGTTGGTGGCTACGCCGCTATTTTCAACCCTTCCTCGACGATACTAGTATCAATAGAAAGACAGGGAAATTCGGGGATAGAGCGGGTCGAACGCAGTTTCACGCCGTAATACGCGCGAGGCTCGTTTGCAAGCGCCGTCAGCGAGCGAAGGCATTATCCTGGTTATCCTTGGAATTCCTTTTACCGACAGTAAACACGACTACCCGAATAACTGGAAACGTTTACGCGGAACGAAGTTGAGAACAACGCCGCGGTTTTCATGGATTCTTGGATAAGAAGCAACGTATTTTCTGGGCTTCGGGATCCACCGTGACCCGAATATTACGACAAAACCTCGGCCCGGAATTCCGCTCGAATGCCGGAAGCGAGCTGCTGTCTTTCTTTACCTCCGCGTTCACGTGCATTTCTGGTACACAAATATTTAGGGCTCCATTGAGTTTGCGCGGGATTCGTCGATAGACGTGGAATCGACGCGATGCGAGCTGAAAATTCGGGAATTATTCCCGTAATTCGCTCTGCTCCCGGTGAAATTATTTTTAGCCCCATATTTTTATCGCGAATAGCGGAAACTCCCGTATCCGAATTAACAGAGAGAGAAAATGGCGGTTGGGTGATAGGACAAGTTTTTTTTTATTAAATTTAATAAAATTAATTAAATCAAGATTAAGGAAAAATTAATGATAAGCCAATACATTTAACGAACTCTAAATAAATCTTATTAAAAATAATATCAAAAATTATTGTTTTCTATTCGTACATGAAATCCTTAAGATACATGGACGACATATTTAGTGCTGTGATTACTGCAGCCCTTTTAGAACCGACTGCGATTGAATTTCCAATAACTGTGCAGTTACATTTCAATTGGTCTCGACGTT